TAACGTCGCCACTTTTCCAATTGACTGACATAAAATTGGCTCATTAATCAATCAAATCGCGGAGTAAGGACATCATGATGTCGACGTATGAAGTATGAATCCCCCTATGTACTGAACCATCTATAACTAAAAGACAATATTCCTTTTACAACGAAACGCTCTCATTTTAAAGATACTAAAGGTACGCTCTCATTTTAAAACTATATTACCCTTTGTACGGCATACGTTACCAATTAACTCGTTGAGTACCATCATTATAGACACAATTATAGAACAATGGGTTGCGGTCACCGGTGACCGCTTGGTGTTTGACAGTTTAATGAAATACTTGTACTTATCAGAAAATATAAAAGTATTGGTAACGTATAGTTATCAAGAAATGAAACAGAAGAAACGTTAGTGGCTTCGTTACTTTACTCCCAAGTGTATAATGTGTAGAATGTTACAATAAATTGTCATCAATAACGTGAAAGAGGTCATTGCTAGAGTTATTGCCTCCGCTACATACCGAGGAATAATCTCGACTCTTTGCAGTTGGGATTAAGATCACAGTTTAATAAGTTCAAGTTTACTTAAGAAAGCTGCTGCCTTACAGAATAATTTTTATATCTATGAGGTGCCCGGTTTCTGTTATACGGCTCTCGCAGAAAAAATAAGGAGTAATACTTCACTCGACCAGTCACAGAACATATAAGTATATCTATTACTCATTCACAACCTAAGCTTGCAAATCAACCACCTACTAATCCCTTCTTAGACGAAGGCCTTTGCACAATAGACGTTACGATGAATATTATAGTACGATCTCAAAGTAGGAAAAATGACATTATTCCCTCAAAAGTATCATCTTAAGTGTGGAAGAGCCATGCTTCGGCACGAATGGGCCAGCTCGACCGTAGTGATACCACAGAAAACCGACGTGAAACACTTGCGTTGTGGTTCGTCGCGTGTCGTCTGATTCGGATCCAGGAATTGGGGTGATTTGGGCTTCCAAATCACCCCAATTCCTGGATCCCCAACAATCCTCAAATTCCTAATCCCCGAAAGGCCGGTAACGCATTTGAAACACCTCTAGTGTTTCGGGTGTTCATGAGCTGCGCTAATTGCTTGCCATTAGGTGATTCATATGCTCGTTTACCGGGTTATTATATAAAAAATGCATGGCAGATGAAGTAAATTATACATCGTTAATATTATTATGAATTGCCCACACGTGTTGAACGTTAAACAAAGATTAGACCATAACATTCAGATTGGGGTCTCGGGTCAGTAAACTGATGGCACGCCATGTCGAAGGTGTACGAGATAATTTCGATAAGATTCTTCTCAAAAAAAGTAGGTATTAAATGATGTAATCAAAGCAAAATTACCGCATCTTTTATTAATTACACAATTAATTATGAAATTACCTAACATTAGATAAAATTTACTCTCATCATTCAATGAATTACGACATATTACATCATTTTTTATGTAGTAGGTAGGTACAGTATACTGAAATATCAAGTCATACCGTCTACGTATTTTATATGCATCTAAATCAGTAGATAGATCAAGTTGTCAAAAAGATATATCGGAAATCAATAGGATGCCGAGGTGATGATAAAACGATTGAATGACTAGAAGTGACCAAACGATTACACCACGATTATATGATTAAATGATACGGTAATGTAATTATGGCAATGATGCGTATTAAGATATGATAATATTGATGAATGAGACTATTTTGATGAGCTTAAAAGGAATGAAAGTTGATATAAAGACGAAAGTAGGTACTGGTTTTGATATAGACGACGATAAAGTTGCTATACAAACGTGTCCGGGAAAAATATTGCTGCCCCAATAAGCAACTTATTGCGTAGAATGCGCAGTCATATCAGCCATACAGAGCCATATCCAATTTTTTAACTGAAACTGCCATCCTCTGCACTGTTTTGCAGTCACAATAATACAGAAAAAAATTACTTGTTGGGATAAACCTTTAAGTAGGTATCTACTTACTTATATGACAATAGTGTAAAGCCTGAATCGAAGAACAAGTCTGAGGTACCTTACCGTTAGCAGGTAGTGGACGGCAGATGTCTGTGATCCTATTTTCCTAGTGACAATTGAGACTTAGTGCCTACTCGTGTCGCGGAGAACCTAACGGGTTACCGGGCTCCGACTCGAAGTGCAGGAGAAGGAACGGGGTGGTTTTTAGTCAGTAAGAGTCTGACACTCCCTCCCGCCTCACCCAGGCGAGAGCAGCCATTCGATGATTTATCCCCATTGAAAAAACGTGCCTACTCGTAGGGTTCGCTGCCCCTCTTTGAGGAGTGGCTTGAGAGACGCTACGGTGTCCTTATCTACCGCCTGACGGAGGTCCTCACCGGACATAGGAGCTTCGGAAGGTACCTGTGTCTGATAGGGAGGGAGGAAACGCCCGGGTGTTATCAATGCGAAAAACGCCCTGAGGACACAGTGGAACACACAGTAGGGGAATGCCCTGCGTAAGCTGAACACCGCAGGGATATGATCAGCGACGGTGACCTCTCGCGGCTGGATCTAGTCCGGGTCATGATGCGGAGCAAGGGGGACCGGGATGCCGTCTCCTCCGTTTGCGAAGCAGTCATGCTAGCTAAGGAGGAGGGGGTCCAAAAAATGAGGGGTGCCTATAAAATGCTTGCTTAGATTGCCTACTACGCAACGACCCTTAGATCTTTTAACTTCCATCACACTCATGCGTCTAACTAGTCATTTAGGTACGCCGATTAGCCACTCCACATTCTATCTTTTCCGAGAATCTCAGCAACGTAGATGTATTACGTACTTCTAGAGTCCTTGGGAAGTCCATTCCAGCGTTGCCATCACAGATGTAGCAGACCAACCCTGCTGTGCAAGGCGGGACGTGACCACTATGCCAGTCTTCTTTGGGATCACTCAGTGGGCGACTGGAGTCCCCATTCAAAGCACTCGTGACCCTAACGAAGGTCCGCCTGCTCAAGGTGTTGCAGGTAAAATATCGGTGATTCGACAGATCTAAGTAAATTCGATCGCGGTCCGCCATTGGTTGTGAGAATAATCCCAACCAATGACGGGCAAGAATGCGATCGAGCTCACTTCGAATCACTTCGAAGAGTTCGAATTGACATCTTATAGAATAGCCTAGTTGTTTCTTCCTCAACTCCTTACCAGCTCGACCTTGAGTCAGTTTCTGAATTTAACTATAATCAAACCATTCTTTTTGACAGCTAGTGATTGGATGAACAAGCCTTTGGCTTCACCAGCGCCATCTAGTGACCAAAAAAAACGGTAGTCCTCGTTATCTCAATGAAGAAGACAAACCCTGATTGTTAAATCACCGGATAATTTCAGATATAGCAAGTTAGGTCAGGTTTTAAGGTTATCTACCTGTGCCACATAGAGAGGGAGCCGGACGCCCGGTGCCACCACTGCGTCCATTGCGGGGAGGACACGGTGCAACACACGCTCGCCGAGTGTGTAGCTTGGGAGGAGCAGCGCCGTGTCCTCAGAAATGAAGTAGGAAGCGATCTGTCGCTGCCGGCCGTAGTGCGGAAGATGGTGGACAGCGCAGAGTCGTGGGACGCGGTGGTGTCTTTCTGCGAGGATGTGATGTCGCAGAAGGAAACTGCGGAACGGGAGAGGGAGATCTTACTGACTTCCTTTCCCAACCGCAGAAGGCGCACCGGGCGTAGGAGAAGGGCCGACAACGCCCTCTTCCGGCCCCCATGAATGGGTCCAGGGGCGAAGGACTTGGGGAAGTCCCCGCCCCCGAATCGATAGACCCGAGTCGAAGGCGCGCGCGGGTGTCGGCGTACGCCTTTGAGGCGATGCACGTGGTGCACTGCTCCGTGCAGGTGACGGGGCCCTGATTTACGGGCCGGCACTGTAATGCGGGGCTGCGGATGAATTTGGACTCCCGCGGCCCCGCACGCACGTGCGAGGAGACACTGGGGTGGTTTTAGCCGGTAAGAGTCCGGCACACCCCTCCGCCTTTCCCCAGGCGGAGGCAGTCCATGAGGATTTCCCCCCAAAAAAAAAAAAAAGGTTTTAAGGTTATCCAAGTAGGTAGGTAGTTACAAAAAAATCGATAGATAAAGATAGATAACCTTCTTAAACTGTCAAACACCAAGCGGTCACCGGTGACCGCAACCTATTGTTCTATAATTGTGTCTACAAAACCGGTACTCGACGAGTTAATACTACTTACCCTATTAATGTTACATTGTAAGTATGCAATATGTGCCTTACCTATCTCTGGCCCTTTGAAAACTGAAAAGCATGATGTTGGTTTAGTAATATAGTAGGTACTTAGCTACCTACAAAAAATATTCTCGAGCACAAATAATTTTTATTGCTAAGCGAGTATAAACCTTATTCATAGACATAGAAGCTTGTCGCGGAGAACCTAACGGGGAACCGGGGCTCCGGCATACATAACATAACATCATCACGCCTTTTATCCCCGAAGGGGTAGGCAGAGGTGCACATTATACCTACCACTGTACAATGTAACACCCACTTTTCAATATTTATGTTATGAGTCCCAAGTAATAGGGGGTGAGCCTATTGCCATAAACCGGGAACAATTCCAGACTCCGTGCTACTACTGAGAGTATTTAAAAACCCAGTAATACTTTGCCCGACCCGGGAATCGAACCCGAGACCCCTTGCCCGGCAGTCCTTAATATAAAATATTAAAATAAAAATTAGTCATCGCATTATGGAATCAAAATGAAATATCAATTGATAAATACATAAATTTATTTTACTAATCACATAATCAAGTGTACCTAGGATAACTTTTATTTCCAACTTAGGTACCTACTAGAATCAATCACCTTCATTAAAATAAAATTTGCTTTGGAGTCGATAATTAATATACATATCATCATAAAGTCAATAATATGAAATTATTCTATTAATAAATTCATAATTCATCATTCTAATTAATAAATTCATAATTCATCATTCTAATTAATAAATTCATAATTCATCATTCTTATTAATAAATTCATAATAGTAGACATTTTATTTCCAACTCAACGTTGAACAAAATTTTAAAAAATTAAACATTATTTAAATAAAAACCTGCAATTTTATATACACAAGTCTTTTCTATGTGACACCTGGACATAAGCTTAAAAAAGGAAAGTTTTTTAATACTATTTTATGTATTAGAACCACCAATTCACCTGTTCAGATAGATAAATATGAGAATCAATACAAACCTACAACAATATTGTAGAATTACTGATGATAGTTAAATAAATAGAATTTTAACATCATGGTAATTTTGGCACATAAAGTTGTGATGTTATAACATGACTTTATAGTAACTAATAGTATGACTTTCATATTATTGACAAATTGACAATACTGGGCATTTAGCCTAACGACACTTTAGCGCTTGTCTACAGAGAGAGTAGAAACCATAATGTATGGGGTTGACAGTGACACCGACAATTGTCAAAATTTACGTCAATCCCATATAATTTGGTTTTCTATTCTACATGTAGACAAGCGTTAAATGGCATTTGGCTACAGCTGCTAATCTTAATCTCAGATAAAATATGTAAGGATTGTACTAAGTACCGATCTGTGCTCTGAGGGCCTAGTACAAGTTGGTTCTACGTACGTAACTGATTGGTTGGTTCATCGGAGCCGGCCAATCTCATTTTGATTACCTACTTTAAACATAAAACAAACTCGTACTACGCCCTCAGTAGTACCGCTCCGTGTGACGAAGACATTAGTTAATATTTATGATAAATATCACATATTGATTACATTAAAGCCAATGAGTAATTAAGTTCACCTGAGTTTTAAATTCTACAATTTGTTATAAGTTCATATGTAGCGCTAAAGTTATTCAATAATTACCAATAAAGATCCACCTAAAGTGAACAGTTAAATGGTGGTCTCGTATTTAAAGATGAAACAAAAAGTACATCTATCTCTTTCCTGTTCCTTTGTCACGTCGTTTCTTGATATGTTTCTTTGTTTTGTTTTTTCGTTTTTCAGCTTGTGCCATCTTTACGGCTTTTTTTCGTAACTTCTTACTGTTTGGTGATTCGTTTCGGGGGCGAGCGAAGTTCTTATGTTGTTTTTTCGCTTCTGTAAGTAAAAATGATTGGAGTTTTAATTGTTTGTCGTATAATTAAGCTATTTTAAACGTTTCAGAGCCATGCTTCAGCACGAATGGGCCGGCTTGACCGGAGTGATATCACGGCCTTACGTGAAACAACGATTGCGTTGTATTTCGTCGTATGAGTGAGGTTACCGGAGGCCCAATTATCCCCATCCCCTCCCTTCCCCAATCACCCCTGAATCCCCAACAATCCTCAAAAGGCCAGCAACGCACTTGTAACGCCTCTGGTGTTCCGGGTGTCCATAGGCGACGCCGATTGCTTTCCATCAGGTAATCCATCTGCTCGTTTACCGGCTTATTCCATAAAAAAGATAATAATTTTTAACCCTACAGTGGGTGCGCCTTTTTGTGAAACGTCAGTGGGCGCGTGGTGAGCATTTTGCTGCCTGGTGAAACCTGGTGGTATCTTTTCAAATGGTCCCTAACCCGCTATAAGTACAGTTGGCGCTGTAAGCGTCGACTCTTTCGGCACGCATTGCTAACGAGACAGGAGGCATCTAGGAAAAAATACAAGACTATCAGGCTACATTAAACACCACGCTACGAAAAATAGGAACCGAGGAACAGGAGAAACCGCGTGGAATTATATTGTACCTATTGTATAAATATTACTACATAATTAAAATTATTATATTTAAAAGTTAACTACCTTCTCCTTCTTCCTCTGATTCACTTTCCGAGTTGGGTTCTTCTACCTCATTGACATCATTCTCCTGCAGTTTTGCAGCTTCATCTTGCAATATGTCGGGTTTGTCCGCTGCTGACAAACCCTCTTTGAAGCCAGCTATCTTCTTGGATGCTAAATCTTCTGTATCGGGCTCCTTTGCATTGTTGATACCTCGTTCATAGTTTATTACCTGGAATCGGAATAGGACAAATTAATGAAACTTTTTTATCTATTATGTACCTATTTGATAGGCCGACGTTAGACCACTATCTCGCCGCTGGTAAGGGATGATGCGGTCTACGAGCACGTCGTCCCTTAAGAAACCTATTCACTCGAGCCTTGAAAATACAGACTTAGGTACCTACAGTTTATTACTGGTCAATAAATGCATCATTCAAGGTTCTGTGGTGCCTAGATGTGATTATAAGTTGTACTGAGGATCAATACATTAAAGTTTTATTTCTATAAAAATAAGACAATACTAATGTTATCATCAATAAGTATCTTTTAAAATACATTCATAATGACAAAAGTATCAACGAATTTATAAAAATGTGGGTCACCAACATCATCGAAGGATTTGCCTAGAACAATTTTCTATGGGCAGTCAGATTAAAATGTTACCAGGTATGTACTCACCTCTGGTAGTCTTTTAGAAATGTACATATTCTTGAAAGCTTCTTCCTCAATCTGTTCCTGAGCGATCATATTGTTATGGTCCCCTTGAGCTGCCATTTTTCTGTCAATTGAGTAAGACGTGCTCCCTGCTCAAGTTACCCTCACTTATAGTAGAATCAGTCATAAAATTAAACAACTCTTTCACTGTTAATGTTGCAAGCCCTTTTTAATCAACACTACCGTTAGTTTTACATTGTAAGTATAAAATTAATGTCTGACCTATTTCTGCAGTCTCCTTCGAAGACTGATCTCGAGCACAAAACTACTTATTTTTTTTTTTGTTAATCGTGTATAAACCTTATTCTTAGACAAAAGCTCACATAATTTGGTTCAATATCAAATTAAAAAAGTAATACGGTTTTATAATTATTTAACTAAGACAAGGACTCACGACGCGATTTTTACCCGCGTTCGCCGCGGTTGCGGGCTCGCAGCGTTTGTAGACAGATATTTATGTAAAAAATTAAAGCACAATTTTATTAAGATTAAAATATATCTACGTTTAATTATTTATTTTTATTTTCCTATACTACTCCGGCTGTATTATCTTTGTATTACATACATTGCTCTTTTATAACCACATCAGTCCATCACTGTAAGTACAAGAAGTAGACATAAGATATAAGATGAGTGAGTTGTCGATGGCGCGTATGAGCACTTGTTCGTAGTATTCGTTTTCACAGAACTGTAGGTGCAATATAAGTTTTATGGAGGGACAATTGCGGCTTCAACAGTTTTACATACATTTTGTACTTTACACCAAATCGCCTTCATTTATCTAATATATAAAATTCTCGTGTCACAGTTTTCGTTGCCATACTCCTCCGAAACGGCTTGACCGATTTTGATGAAATTTTTTGTGCTTATCCGGTATCTATAAGAATCGGCTAACATCTATTTTTCATCCCCCTAAATGTTAGCGGTAGTCCACCCCTAATTTTTTTTTATTTTTTAGACAAAGTTTTTTATTTCTATTTTTTTGATACAACATACAAAAATACATACAATCCTCAATTTTCACCCTTCTATAAGATTATTTATATGGCAAAACAACGTTTGCCGGGTTAGCTAGTGCTTGTTTATTTATATATTTCCACTTTATTGCACACACAGAAAAAAAATGTAACTTCATTTCTTATAATAATATCTATGATAGTAAAAGTGACATTATATTATTTGAAATGTAGCAAGTTTTCATTTGTCAACTGTATGAGGAAACGATACTGATTTTATTATACTGTTATATGTCATTTTAATATCGAAGTAATAATGGAATCAAAATAAAATATCAATCAATTGATAAATAAATAAATTTATTTTATTTATCACAATATCATGGTGTTTAAATGTAAATAAAACTTTGCTGAGTAAGGCACTACCTACAATGGCTTTTATTTACAACTTACTAGAATCAATTAATCACATTCCTTAAGAGAAAAAACCATTTCGCTTTGGAGTCTATAACTAATAGTATAACATCATTAAGTCATAATAGTACACATTTTATTTTCAACGCGACGTTGAACAAAATTATTAAAACTAAACGACAAAAAAGCTGCAATTTTAATATACACAAGTCATTTTCTATGTGACATCTGTACGGTAGCAAGAGAGACTACGTGTGTGGCCCTCTGATTGGCCGGCTCCAATGAACCGACCAATCAGAGCGCGGAACGTGGTCTCGTTTCGATAAATTTAAATATTACAAACTCGTACTAAGGCCTCAGGTCAAGCTATTCTTTTCTTGTCAAAATGTATTACATGATCAACCTAATTACTCTGTCATAGTGTCGTAAATTCAATGAATGAATTTGATTGACTGAAGTAGATTGGTCTACTGGCCACTATATAAGTTTTAAAAAGGATACTTTTAACTCGTCGAGTACCGTCATTATAGAACAATAGGTCGCGGTCACCGGTGACCGCAATTGGTGTTTGACAGTTTAATTGAACCCTTTGAGTACCGTCATTATAGACACAATCAAAGAACAATAGGTTGCGGTCACCGGTGACCTCCCGGTGTTTGACAGTTTAATACTATTTTATGTAGGTATATAACCACTAATTCACCTGTCCAGATAGAAAAATATGAATGAATCAATACAAACCTACAGCAAGATTGTAGAATTACTGACAATATACACATAAATAGAATTTATACCATGATGTATTTTGGCAAGTCAAAGATGTGATGTTAATACATGCCTTTATAGTAACTAATAGTGCGACTTTCATATTATTGACAAATTGACAATACAGAGTGCCAAGCACGAATAACTATCGCATTCGTATCGTAACAGTATCGAGCGCGTTCGGCGCTCTGATTGGCCGGCTCAAGTCAACCAACCAATCAGAACGCTTAACTCGCTCGATACTGTTACGATACGAATGCGATAATTATTCGTGCTTGGCCCTCAGATCACAAACACAGATAAAATAGGTAACCATTGTACAGTGACCAGCAGACCAACCTAACAGTTCCTGTCATAGTTAAGTTAAGGACCACTATTACTATTATTCTCATAAAACCAGTGACAAATTAATTATTACTGAAGTCAGTTGTCTTCTTTGACATAACTTTAGTTCAAACTTTAACTGTATTTAATGTACAGAGGTGTCGCCTTGTGTATATTTTTTTCATTTCATAGACCATTTTTGTCTTCTGCAGACCACCACTTGGGAACATCTGCATTAGAAAGATCCACTTAAAACTGAACAGTTGAAATACTGATCTCACATTTCAAGATGAAACAAAAAGTACATCTATCTCTTTCCTGATCCTTTGTCCCGTCGTTTCTTAACATGTTTCTTTGTTTTGGTTTTTCGTTTCTCAGCTTTTTCCTCCTTGACGGCTTTCTTCCTTAACTTCTTACTGTTTGGTGATTCGTCTCGGGGGCGAGCGGAGTTCTTATGTTGTTTTTTCGCTTCTGTAATTTAAAATAATTGGAGTATTAATTGTTTGTTATATGATAAAGCTATAATAATGATAATTAGTTTAAACACAGATGTAATTTACAGTTATTTATCATTATTACGGAAATGCCTTTTTTTTAAGGGGGGAAAATCATCAAATGACTGCTCCCGCCTGGGTCAGGCGGGAGAGAGTGTCAGACTCTTACTGACTAAAAATCACCCCGTTCCTTCTCCTGCACGTCGATTCGGAGCCCCGGTTACCCGTTAGGTTCTCCGCGACTCCGAATCGGAATCGGCCGTATTGGGCCCCATCTGTGGTGGTCTGATGGCTCTTTGAGGCGCGCGCGGAACGCGACGCACCGTACGCTCGGGTCTGTTTCTGGTCGGTCGGGGAGCCACCCATGCTGGCCGTCCGCAGGCCCGTGCTTACGGTGGCCGGAGATCGTCCCGCGACCCTGGACGCCCGGTGTGTCCTTCGCGATGGCTGGGTTGCGAGGAGGCAGCGCTTCGCTGCCTCACGCGTCCCGCCTCCTCCTTAGCTAGCATGACTGCTTCGCAAAAGGAGGAGACGGCATCCCAGTCCCCCTCGCTCCGCATCATGGCACTAGGCTCGGACGCGAGAGGTCGCCATCGCCGATCACTTCCCTGAGGGCACGGCGGTGCTCAGCCCACGCAGGGCATTCCGCTAGAGCGTGTACGGAAATGCCTATAATCTATCCATAGGTTCAAACGGTTCACTCGAATGAATAATCACCACAGTGAATGTTTCATTTATCTTTCATTCCATGTTCAGGCTTTAGTGGTGGAAGAAATGAACATTATTATTTAAATATGTCAAATATGATCGAGTGATGTCGTGCCACTCAGAATCAGTTTAATTTGTGATCATCTTCTGAAATCCGAGTGCATGTTCACTTTGTGTGCAGACAGTTCATTTTTTGATCATTCCGAGTGGCAATAAATGATCCAGAATATCAAAATCCAACATCATTGGATCGCTTCACTACTGAATTAATTCTGCACTATTGATTCATTCTGAGTTCATTGTCATCAGTGTCATTTTGAGTGAAAGATGTCGAATGAAAAGCAAAAATAAACCGTCTGAACATTAAATAAATATATTATGTATGAATCTTGCCACTAAACATAATTGATTAGTTTCATAAGGGTCAGTAAGGTGCATGAATACTCCGAGTGTTTAATTCCTGCCATACCTATTGGTTCTAATTGAATAATTATTTTTGTAACATAACATCACGCCTTTTATCCCCGAAGGGGTAGGCAGAGGTGCACACACAAGTAACACCCACTTTTCACTATTCATGTTATGAGTCCCATGTAATAGGGGGAGAGCCTATTGCCATATACCGGGCGCATTTTCGGACTCCGTGCTACTACTGAGATTTTTTTTTAAATCCAGTAGTACTTTTCCCGACCCAGGAATCGAACCCCAGACCCCTTGACTGGTAGTCGCACTTGCTACCACTCAGCCAACGAGGCAGTTTATTTATTATTATTTTTGTAAATTATTATGTTTTTCGGTTTCCTCAACAAATAATTCCTCAAGAAATCGCCGCGTGTGATCAGACCGCCCATTGTACTCAAATTACTATTGCTATGTTTACAATTTTTTTTTCTGTGTGCGATAAAGGATAAATAAACAAATAAATAAATAAATAATTACGTGTGTAAGCCGAAAAACATAATAATTGATTTAGTATGTCTCACAAAAGTTAAAATTATTTTTATCGTTTGAATAGTCTATTTATAGAGGACGGCTGAAGACTAAAAAAAACCGACTTCAAAAAACCAAAAATTAATAAAAAAAAAAGTCAAAACTAAAAAACAAAAAAATAACCATTGTTAGTACTGATAAGTTACCCACCCACTGATAGATTAAAAGTCGGCGCCATGGAAATCTCGGGCTTATACCCTTCACAAATGGCGGAATAAACGGCGAAACGAAAAAAAAAACAATGAGCCGAACATAGTACCTGCTCTTTTTTTTTGAAGTCGTTAAAAATAACACGCTACATTCAATACGAGCTGAGCGGCGCGGCGCGTGAAACCGCGTGGACTTAGCTTATATTGCATAAATATAATACCATTCACATAATTAAAATTACTATGTTTAAAAATTAACTACCTTCTCCTTCCTCTGATTCACTTTCCGAGTTGGATTCTTCTTCCTCATTGACATCATCCTCTTGCAGTATTGCAGCTTCATCTTGCAATATGTCAGGTTTGTCCGCTGCTGACAAATCCTCTTTGAAGCCAGCTATCTTCTTGTATGGTAAATCTTCTGTATCACCCTTCTTTGCATTGTTGATATCTCGTTCATAGTTTATTACCTGGAATCAGAATAGGACAAATGAAACTGGTTTTGTAGCAGTTTGTTGCTAGAGTAAATCAATGTTTGAGGTTTCTGTGGTACCCAGATTTGATTATAAATTGTTTTGAGGATCAATACATTATCATAGAAACAAACTAAAAGTTTTGTTTGAAGAAAAATAACACAATAGTCACTATAGTGTCTTTCCCTAAAACTGTCTCTTGAAGTCTCTTGAAATAATAATCAATGACAATTGACAATCAGTGACAAAATATCAACTACGAACATGTGTCACCAACATTATTGGAGGATATAACTTAAACATTTACACAACAATTACACAAAAATTGCACAACAATTAGGTACACAAAAATTGCACAACAATTACACAAAAATTGCATAACAATTAAACAACATTAGTAATTAATATTATACAATTTCAGGCAGTCAAAGATTAAAAAGATATTAGGTATGTACTCACCTCTGTCAGTCTTTTAGGAATGTAGATATTCTTGAAAGCCTCTTCCTCAATCTGTTCCTGAGCAGTCATATTGTTAAGATCCCTTTTACCTGCCATTTCTATCAATTTATCAAGACATGCCTCCAAATTATCCTCATTTATAGTAGAATCAGTGATAAAATCAAATAACTCTTTCACTGTTAATGTTGCAAGCCCTTTTTTCCTAAAGAACGTTGATATATTTACGCAATCTTTCCGCAAAAACAAGAATGCACGCGGATGGCCATGTTCCACGGACTGGGACACATCGATAATGACGACTTTACCTTTGTGTACCAATAAGTTGAATTCTGACAGGTCCGCATGCACTAACTTACAGATATTAAACATTTTCCACATCATTCTTATAATGTCTTTGTACATAGTTTCAGCTTGAAGCTCAGTTAATTCAACATCTTTTAGTTTTGGTGAAGGCCATCCTTCTTCTCCCATAAATGACATTATTAGCACATGGCCTCGTAAAAGTATTGGCTCTGGAACATTTAAGTTTGCCTTGTGCATCCGCTCAAGATTTCTCTTTTCCTTTTCAGCCCATAAGCGGACCATCTTTCGGTTATTAGATCGACAATAACCGTTTCTGAATCTGAATTCACCTGTTACATATTGATCTCTGTCTTTGAACACTAGGATGGAGGTTTTGAAGATCTTAATAGCATAGTCCTCTCCATCCTTAGAGGTAGCATGGTAAACATTGGCTTCTTTGCCTGTGGATATGCAACCATTGATTTCATCGATGACACCTTTGTTAAGGAGTTTAAATAAGATCAACCTGGTGTTACTGTCCATAACTTGCTCGGCCGTAGCTCTGTCTCTTTTATCCTTGATTCTTATTCTATCATTGTCGAGTTTTCTATCACTCCTATCCATGAACTGCTGTGTTTTTCTTGACATAGGTTCATATTGATCTACATTTATTTTGTTGACGAATTTTTTAAACAATTTTTCTTTAGGCTGGAACGTGGTGATTTTACTCGATGGCGCTTGAGAGTTGACGTTGCTTTTCGTTTTATTATAACTCGGTTCATCTGAATCATGATAGTAATCGTCTGAATCGAGATCCTCTTCCTCTTTACTGGATTCACTGCTAATAGTATTTATTTGTGGAACATCTGAAAACTATAAAAAAATCACACATGTATAATGCCGACCAGAAAGGGTACAATTATTTATCAACGACAAAATACTTACTCGTACTGACTTAACCTTAACACTTATATTTTCCTCGTAATCACTAGACTGTGCCTCCTGCATCTTTAAAACTTTAAAACAATAAGTACTTTATGATTAAATAACTATCTTCAAAACGAGTAACACCAACCACGTGGATTTTATTATTGAACAAGTGACAAGAAGTGGACAGGACAACGAAATGACCATTGGCAGACCGCAGAATGACGCTGTCACGCTGATAACTGACAAGTGACAATAACAAAGATTGGGTCTTGGGTCGCCGACGGAACAGTGTTGCCGAATAAGAACTTTATTTTTCATAGAATCTTACCACAGTAAAAAAAAATCGTTTTGTACCCTTAGCAAAAATCATCTAATTAAAAAAGGTGGACGTAACATCACTTAAAAAAATTTGAACTATATGTAACGCTATTGGTTTTCTAAATAAATAAAATTATAAAAAAATATATCATAATAGTATAAACTATAAAAAGTGTAGTCGTAATGAATAATTTCTATATAAGTTGATAAAAAGGCCTACTCTATTTCCTTTAGCTTATTAATAATAGCGTATTAGTAATGATTTCAGAAAGTTTTTTTTATATAGGTAAAGGTATTAATATTCTTTAAGTCAGCTGGAAACTGAATTACTTCGTGCCACTATTACTCTCACTCTAACATAGTTAATTTTCTTTCAACTTCTTTGTTTTTTTCGTAAGATGTCGTTTGTATATTTTGTGGACGAATTCGAATACTCGATCCTATATCTTAAAAAGTTACTTAAATACGATTGAAATCGTATCATTGGCAACACTGCAATGACTGCAAGTTACAAAACATAGAGACTAATGGCAGGCCATTGGCAGGCTTTATTGCACAGCTTTATCGTGGCTTTAAAATACTGCATAGATGTCTATGCTTGTTCCGTGTCCGAGACTGACAGTCGTGACAGATGGTCAATGATAAACATTTTTTTTACTCTGTTACACGAAATAATTAATGGCGACGCAAAGATTTTAACTAGCGCCTCTAGTGTCAAAATTGTGAAGCTGTCTAAGAACGATACTGACAGTTTTCGTACAAAATTTACGTCACAGAAAAAAATATTTATTAAATACAAATTAGATTTATGTGGTTTGTTGTATATAAATATTTAAGTGAATAGTAAAATTAATCAAATGTTATACTAATTATTCAATTAATATCCTTCACTTGCTTAATATTCTACACTTGAATTCAATCCTATATCCTCCACTATCACTCCATCATTTATTTAAATTTCTGATTCATTTACCTACAATATGTTTATTTGATGCTCGACCACCATATGACGCACTTTTTAGGCCTTCTTCAATTATTAGGCCAGAATTGTTTTTTATTGTATTGAGAGTACGTCAATAATTAAAACATTTTTCAATCGCAGTCGCAGCACAGTCTAATATTATTATTGTATTTTTCCATTTTTGCAATGATTTAGGTAATGTACGTATAATTTCTACGTATAATTTAAATCTACGTATAATTTCGGTATCAGGCCAAGGAACAACAAATTTGAGTGCTCTAGGTACTCATCATGAGGCACATATTATTAAAATATTTCGAACATGTCTGCCTATTTATACCAAACAAAACACCAATGGCCCTAAATGACATATTTTGTTTAATTTTTACCATTGTCAAAATAACTCTGTCTCTCACCATTCTCTCACAGATAATATTTTCTTGTTTGTTGGAGCATTTACGGCCAATTCTAACTTAAGTCGCCAACGTTTCTATTGCTGTACCTAACATTACTTATCAATATTGTTTTTTTTTCTAGTAGGTCGTTTTTCCTAGTACTCGGTCCTTCTACCCGTAAAAGTAAATAAATACATATGACACAGCTGATCTTTCCTCTTTCCATCAGGAAAAAAAAATATTTGATTCATAATTTTATCTTTTCGAAATAAATGAAAACTTATTCCTGAATCTCCGTAAGTATTACATTGAGGAACGGAACAACATTTTTTGCCTCTGCTTTTAAAAAACAGGTTTCCGTATGTAATCGTGATCCATTTGATTATATTTAAACTTACTAACATCAACTTGAAAGCAAAGTGTCGTTCTTAGACAACTTCTAAATTTCGCCGCTAGAGGCGCGCGGATAATCTTTGCATCGCCAATAGCAACAACAACTTTAAAACACAAAAAAACACGAAGGTTTGAGCGGTAGGGAAGCAAAGCAGAATTCTCGGCCTTGCCTTCGTGGTATTTATTTAAGCGTGGTATTTTTTTTCTAACCTCTCCTGTAGGTACTTGTCCGCAGATTCCCCTAAACATTTACCTACGTAACCTATCTATTCAAAAATACTAAGCGTGTTATTTTTCGATGATAATAGCCCTTAAAATACAGGCACTATAAAATGTGTACTTACTTATCTTTCGAATATCTTTATCATCTTTTTATTTAACATCTGTAACATAATTAAAACCCGCTTAAATCCGTGGTTAAAAAGGGACAGATAAATAAAATAAATTATCCAATTTACTTGTCAAATTAGGTAAATTTTATTCTAATTCATATAAAAGTATAAAAAGTCTCACATTTAACGAATGAAATCCTTTTAATTTAATCGTTAGGTACATTATGTCAAATAAATAATATCACTGTTACAATATCTCTTATATTTCGTAAAATTCGTCACTTATGTAGTTCAATAGTGTGCTAACCGAAAATAAACCGTATTACGTAGCTATAGATTTGATATTTGCACTAGGCCAAATCAAGAAAGCTTCTAAGTCAGGGAATAAAGTTTATTTTCGCTTAGCAAAAAAAAAAAAATAAGACAGAACGTACAGAACAACCATGCTGCCTCATATATCTAAACCATTCTTAAATTGGTGACAGACGACTATGTAGGTAGTACCTAACTGATTTTTTTCTAAAAGTTTTATTAATAGTATTATGGTCTAGCTAGCTCCAGTTATCCAAATAGCCCCACCAACATCCAAGACATACTTTGCCACAAAGCCAAAGCATTTTCGACAGGCGTTAAGTAGGTACCTACCAACATTGGATCAATTATTATACAAAATAAGATAATTATTATTATTTATATCACTTTATTTTACGCTGTGCCAGCTTCAAGTACCTAACTAAAGTAATATTTACCACCACTAAAGTCATAATTTAAAGGAATAAGCTATAGGTAACCTAGAAACGAAATGAGTGTAAGTAAAAGTCGTCTCTAATTTTAAATACATTAAGTTTTATTTTCGTTAAAAAGAAATGAAATGGTTAGGCTGGGTGTACATTTGTACAGCTTGGCAAAAAGGAATCTTATACTATTATCCTATAATCTTATACTATTATATAAAGCGGAAGAGTTTGTTTTTTTTGTTTGTTGGTTTGAACGCGCTAATCTCAGTAACTACAAGTCTGATTTGAATAATTCTTTTTGTGTTGGGTAGCGCATTTATCGAGGATGGCTATAGGCTATAAAAGATCACGCTACGACCAATAAGAGCTGAGCAGAGCGTGTGAAACCGTGCGGAAGTAGCTATATAAAATAATTGAGGTCGCTAATGTTGTATCTGTTGCAACGGTACACTACTACTCAATCAGCTTTGATATTTGTTATTTTTATCGACTTTAAAAAGAGGAGGTACTATGTTCGGATGATTGTTTATCCATGGGATATGGATATAAGTGGGTGGTTCAGTCCAAGTCGATATTAGTTCCAGCTGTCACCGCGTCGAAACTCTTTTTTGCCAAGCTATACCTATTAGATTACAGAATCTGAGTGAATACAACATCTTTGATTTATTTTACTATTATTTTTTTATGTATTTAGCATAGATCTTGGATATGCTTGCTTGTTACATCGACCATTATTTTTGGTTTTATCTCTGCATCACCCAAAGGTCTGGCTGAAGGAGAATGCCCATGGTATTAAGCCCACATTGTACATGAGTGTGCGTGAAGCCTTTTAAAATAAAATGAAATAGATATCCGACAGAAATCAGTGTTTCTTTAAGCTGTATTGTAACTTTCGGGAGACATACTAAATAAATTATTATGTTTTCGGCTTACTCACGTAATAATTTGACGAGGAACTCGACTAGTTTTATTATTACGTGAGTGAGTACGCCGAAAACATAATAATTTGTTTCTTTACGCTCTTTAAACTTTTATAGTATCGAACAGATATCAAATAGTGAAAAGTGGGTGTTACATTGTACAGTGGCATAATGTACACCTCTGCCTACCCCTTCTATGTATGTTATGTTATGTAGTATCGAACAGTCATCAACTAAAAATTACTTATAGGTGTAAACTTAAAATAGATACCTATATAAGAATATACTTAGCTATATTTTTATAACAATTATACTTATCATAGTTTCTATCTTTCTTTTTGAGGTTTATAAAACAAAGTTTTGGGCACTCACCCCAATTTATGCTAAAATTAAATAAATAAGAATACAATCTTTAGATTTTCAAATGCCAACACCAAATTCTATTATTATCTACAAAATACATAATATATAGTACTGGGTTGCATGGTTACATATCACACTGATTATGTATGGTCCCATTATAATAAACATAGAAATAACGAAATATTCACAAATGTATGCTTTTAATCCAAAAGAATTGTTTTACAATAGGGTAGATGCCTAATTTTTATTTTAATGTCCGTCTGGTAGATTATTTTAAATCATTAGACACGTATTTTTTATTTTCTTACAGAAACGAGTACTTTCAACGATATATTGATTTTAAATGTCGCGTGACGTCACTTCTATGTACATTTTATACGTAGAAATGACGTTTTAGCCCCCACTCCTAAACTTTGATTCGTTTTATGTAAGTATTGTTTTGTTATACGACAAAATAATAAAATACGTGTCTAATATTTTTTCATTACCTAACTTACGGACTAATTAGATTTTTAATTTTCATACCCTGTCATCATCCCAATTATTGTTGTGTTGAACAGAAGAGTTAAAAATAATAAGATTTTGATCTGTTAAGGCAAACATGAATTTATTGTTAAAATTAAAATTTTTAAGTTTATTTTATGATTAACAAAAATCAAAATGTTGTACTTAATTTAAAATTGTCCCCTGTTCATTACCTTTATTTTTTTGATAACGGGTGGATAATTCACCAAAAGTTAAGCCTTGTTTGCACTGCGCTAATATTTTAGTCGAGTAGCGAATCTTTAGTAGCCTTCTCTCGCTTCTGTCCTAAAATCGAAGAGACAAGGAGCTGCTAAAACTCGCTACTCGACTTAAATATTAGCGCAGTGCGAACAAGGCTAGCAAAATTGATGTAAGCTCACAGAAAAAACACAACCGAATAACCCTTTTGGAAGTTTTAGAAGAAATATATACATTACAAACATAATTTAAACTAACTATAACTTAAATTAAATTAAAGGGCAAGAGAAATGAGTACTACACTGCCTTGTTATACCTAAGTGTTATAGAAATATCAGTCAAAAATGTATCTGTAAACAGTATCTTTGGCTGGATACATAACTACGTATACCTATGTATCTATGTTTAGTGTTTCGTGACAAAATTGTGAGAATGGAATGAAAATGTTCGCATAAGTGTAAAGTTCTAATATTTTTGGTCAAAGGAATACTTGATTTTTTATTAAAACGAAATCAGAGAACTCCATTAGAGTTCGTCGAGTAGAGAGAGTATAAAAAAAGTTTTAAAAACTGTTATTTCTCTTCAAATCGCCCTCGCAGTTTTGTATCATTAATAGAATAATAATTATTTACAGTTAAAAGTTTAATGAAAGTGATTTATACATCAAATTCGAGACAAATACCCAATATAAAATTAAAATTTAACTACTAATTACAATAAATTACAATATGCCATTCAATTCGCTGGACATGATTAATTAAGCATCAGTAACTACAAAATAAAATGGTATAAAATACCTACAACTTCATAATTTAAATCTTAAATTATCACAAGAAATCGAAACGTAATTTTTGTACTAACAGAAACGTGTAATGCTTATATCACAATTTATGATCGAGCTCATACAAAGACTATGTGAATAGAAGTATCATGTCGCGAATCGCCACCTGAGGCCAATGTAACATAGAGATCGGAAGACAAACATGATTCCGAACATAGTGAGGATCTCATACCAGACAGAACTGTTTTCAATATCTAAGTACTTGATAAGAACCTCAGGTTTGGCGAAATGGCAATACATGTCTTCGCAATCTAAAGGCTGACGGTCGAAACCGAAGATGGTAAGGACCATAGCCACAATACCGCATCTGATGAAGGAAGTCTTCATGAGGATGTTCATCATCAGAGGGATCTCGTGGGCAAAGTCGAAGCCATAGATGGCTAGGCCGAGGAATGGAGCGATCGCTGAAGGCCCGATGGCACAGCCATTCTGGAAAAATACAAGACAGTTGTCAGTAAACCCATGAATAATTTAAGATACTTCCTTACTGTTGCTGTTGCATGTTCTAATTTAGGAACAATTAATCGTTTATGAAAAGCTGATGAAGAAAATACCCATTACAGAAGATTTTGATCAACCGAGCTGTAGACAAGACTACTATGTGAACAGAAAATGGCTAAGCCAACTCAGAACCGAAATACCTAAAGACCTGATTTTGGTACAAGGCAGAAAACTCACCGTAACGTTGAAGACGGATCCAATAGCCATGCCAAAGCCTTCAGCAGCCAAGGACACAACGTTCCCCACGAGACAGAACGCCACGAACCGCATTACAGTAAACGGAACTCCGGCCATGAAGTACACGATCGTTGAGAATATTATGTTGAATGTTATTTGTACGGGAAGCTTCGAGACTGTGAGAGCAGCGTAGTAAGGGTTCAGGCTGTACCAGCAGTTGAAATGTTCTTTTTTCACTAACTTCACTTCTTGAGGATCTGAAAGTGATAAGACATTATTAGTTTTGGGTTCCCAAAATCTTAGCTTACAGAGCTCCTTATCGGAGACACTTATCGGGTCTGACAAATTATTACCAGACAGAGAACTCGATTTTCAAATTCTGATACTCAGAATCTGGAATTGTGCCAATGATTGACAAATACAAAGCATTAGCCCTCATTAAATCAAGACTCATAAGCTTAAGAAAAAACCACTAGAAAATCACTAAGTAGTTTCTAGCACACATTAAAGAAATATACTTACATACAAGTACTGGAACCATGATTTGGGTATACGCAAAGAATATGACGAGTCCGACGCAGAGCTTGAGGTGGTTAAACATCTGCGTACCGTCATTGGCCATATTGAAGAAACAAGTTCCCACTAACAAGCCACACATCACGTGGTGAACGAACTGGATACTGAGACCTGGAATGAGAGATGAAAAGTTTAATACGAATGGGAATTGATAATGAAGAATTTATAGAATATTTAGGAATGGAAGTAGAGTAGAGATAATAAAAGTACAAAAAATGACTAAGTAGGAGAAATGGCTGAATAGAGATGAAAATGTGGAATCTCCTATAAACATTTTCTCTAGCACTGCTTCTGTTGCTAATACTGAAGCAAACACACAATAATATGTAAGAAGGTAATAACAAGAAGGGCCTAAAGTAAAAAAAAACTTTAAAAAACTTATCCATACCTTGTTTATTCCTAAATATTTGGGTCAACATCCTCTTCAGTAATATACAGAACTGTTCACAGTAGGTCGTGGAGAATTCCATAGTGTCTGATTTTTGCATCTTCATCCACGCCATCGAGGAGTTTCCATTAGAAAGCTGACTGGACGACGAACTTACAGAGGCACTTGAGCCATCGTATTTCGTTACTTTATAAGTGCATTTTTCATTTGACAGGATTATCTCAGTTTCGTTCGCGTCATCAGTCTGGTAGCTGATTTTAAGCTGCATTTGGTTCGCGTTCGGTTCGATCGCTGGTTGATCTAACTTCGCTGATTTGAACAGTTTTCCATTCATTATCTCTTTCGATAGTAGGGTTATATATTCAGGTGTTTCTGTTAGTTCAATAACTGAAAAAATAACAATAGGACAAATTAGAGGAAACATCAGTTTTGAGACCGAAAACTGAGAAACCATTAAATAAATTATTCACAGAGATTTAACTGTCTTTATAAAATAGATAGTCGTACTTGCATCAAATTAAATACATACATCAATTCAAACAACTAGCGGAGCATTTAATAATGTAATAATTTAAATAGTAAGTACCTACATTCTATAGTAATCCTTACTATAATATTATAAATCGGAAAGTGAGTTTGTTTGTTCCGCTTTCACGCCGTAACTACTAAACCGATTGCTTTGAATTTTTGCAGACGTAAAGGTAGAAGTCTGGATTAAATAATAGGGTACTTTTTATCCCGGAAAAAATGATATTCTCGAGGGAAAACGAAGTTATTGGTATAGATGGCGCTGTGTGTATTGGTGTATGTCACATAGGATACTTTTTATCCTTTTGTGACGCGACCGAAGCCGCGGGTAAAAGCTAGTAGATAATAAGATGGCAAGATCTGGAAAGTTTGAACTCAAATTCGGTAGAAAAAGTTAACAAACCACAATTGAATATACGAATGTTCAAGTCTAGATAGTAACAGCTGAATCAAAATAGTACCTAACTGACCACGTGAGCTAAGAAGTACAATACTACAATGGCTTGTTTAAAATTCCTGTAAAACTTTACGTAATTAAGCAGTTATTTGAATTACAAATGTGTTGGGCTTTGTTTTGCTTGCAGTAGTCGCTCTTTTCCCTTGCAGATTACTTAAGTAGTTACCTAGTTCACAATTGCTTTTACTAGGTAGACTATTGAACTATTGGCTGTTGATGCAACATAATATTATTGTTATTAAAATAATTACGTTTTCGTGTTTATTAAAATTTCACATCGCAGAGTAGTGGGAGAAGTCATTGCATGATTTTCTCCCTCAAAAAAATAAAAATAATAAAGGAAAGAGTAGCAATTTTGTGGTACGATTTTTATGTCTAGAGGTAGGAATTAAGAGCTTACAAAGTATAGGTATACTAGGTACCCTTTTCCTTTTTCACCCAGGCGGGAGCAGGCATTTTCCCCACTTAAAAAAAAAAACCTTTTCCTTTGATCACGCGGAACGAGACCACGACTAGCTTATTACCTATTTTATTAGGCTTTGGTACCGTAATAGCATGTCAACATTATTTTAATTGCAAATGATTCAAAGGCAAACCTAACATTATTTGCAAGTGATTGTGAACCTTAGGTAATCAATGTATCTACTTCTAGCCTTTAAGTTCTGCCTATCTCGGTAAAGAACATTCCTATTGTTTTCCAGTCATCGGACAGTAACCTATTGCATTGTTAATTACAACCTAGAATAGGCACGATGATTAATGTGTTTAATTACATCAGCATCGTCCAATGAGTTTTACTAATTTTTCTCCTGTACGTAGTATGAAGGTAGATAGATGGAATTATTTGGTAACTGTAATGGAACCAACCACGAATTCATTGGTTACAAACGCTTTGGCTTAGTCCCCGAGCGGTCACCGGTGATTGTTCTCCACTCACTCTAGTATCAACCTTATTTCCGATATTTAGAGACTTCTTTGTATGAATAAACTTTGCCAATGGGGATGTCGACAGGGTATGAAAATTAAAAATCTAATTACTCCGTCAGTTAGGTTATGAAAAATTATTAGACACGTATTTTTTTATTTTGTCGTATAATAAAACAATACTTGGATAAAACGAATCAAAGTTTAGGAGTGGGGGCTAAAACGTCATTTCTTAGTATAAAATGTACTGAGAAGTGACGTCACGGGACATTTCAAATCAACATATCTTCGAAACTATTCGTTTCCGTAAGAAAATAAAAAATACGTGTTTAATGTTTTTAAATAATCTACAAGACGGACATTAAAATAAAAATTAGTCGTCTACCCTATTTTTCGTAAGAAATGAGAAGATCATAATTTTTAATAGCTACGGTTTATTATTTTTGCCTTTTCAACCCTATGGAGCTAACACTCCTAGAATCTGAGTATCCCACTAGGTACAGCTACAGAAGATGCGAGGATATTCCTAATAGGTAATTTAAACATATCAAATATACGATGATTCACCCGAGAACAAGATGCAAGCAAAGAAACTATTTGTAATTATTATTATTATCTATGCTATGTAGAATTAAATGGCTAATTGTCACATAACAACATAATATCGATTAGCAGAACAAGTCGAGTCAATTTAATATTAATTGCGGTGGTATTTACTTTTGCCCTTATTAAGGTAGCTAACTAAATCTTATCACAGACATATACCTAAATACACGTGCCCAACATACTTACAACGTACAGTGTAACACCCACTTTTCACTATTTATGTTACGAGTCCCATGTAATAGGGGGTGAGCCTATTGCCATAGGTATACCGGGCACAATTCCAGACTCCGTGCTACTACTGAGAAATTTTTAAAAACCCAGTAATACTTTGCCCGACCCGGGAATCGAACCCGAGACCCCTTGCTCAGCAGTCGCACTTGCGACCACTCGGCCAACGAGGCAGTCTTACCAATAAGACTATATGCAATGTGATATTGTAGATAACAAGCTTTGCCTTGTGGTTTTTCCTAAAATCATCATCAAAATAAATACGTAAGACAGTGGCGTAACTACAGGGTGGCAAGTTAGTAAAATGCCACGGGCTTTGAGCCGGGAGTGGCTTCAGTTCAGAAATACTCTTCTGAACTTATTCTTCTTTAAATTGGGAGGAAGGGCTTATACAGTGAACTTGCCACCAGCCCGAGCGGTATAGTATCGCAGTGGCGCCGCTTGAAGATCATAAATATAAAAATGTAATACATATAACAGCACTCCTCTTTTCATGACTAATCCTAAACAAATCATAGCAATAACCTACGTCAAGAATATTCTGTTAGGTCCATCTACTTACTCGTTCGAATGCATCAATTTGATAGGTAAATAAGTGAAAATACTTACTGAAGTCAGCAGGATTATGATGTCTTGGACAGGGCAACCCACATGTTTGTAGAAAAGGCACCATAGCAGCTGTGTCGCCCTGGTATATGCAGTATCCGTCAGCGATTACATATACCTGGAAACATACACATTGACGTCAACTTGGAAAGTTAAAAAACAAACAAAAGATTACAAGTCACTGGGAGCGTAAGAATTGACGTCAGAATGAAGGAAAGTGCATGGGTACATAGGTATTGATGTCACTTATAAATAAATGAGTTGTTAATCCCAGAATAGATTTGACTCCGAACAATGAAGGTAGAAGTCTGATCCTATTGAAAATGTCTGTTGTGATCCTAATAATTGACATGTCCCGAATTAGAATTAAGTCAAAAATTATTAAATTAAAACTGGAGCTCAAATCGGGAATCGAGTTCTTTGAAATTGTTACAAAGAGCACTAGTACCTAATTGAAAAGTGACTAATTAGTTTCAGATTCTACTACAGACTAATTAATCTCATTTTGATCATTACTTCACAGCTGTAACCTCAGTGAACACGTGGAATGAAAACAAAAATAGATCACAACATTGTACTCATTTGTTTTTCTTCCAAGTACAAATTGACGTCAACTTTCGGCGTGTCGCGTGATAGTATCGGACTTGTACCTTTTTACTTAATTTATTTGAGTTCTATAACCATTTAGCCAAGTAAGTATCTAGTAGGATAACCCTGTTTGATGTATTTTTATTTAATTCTAATAAAACCTTATAGTTTAACTGTAGTTTCTAAGTTAATGGCATTAATAACTTCTATACTCCGTAAAGAAATAGGAAATCTTAATTATATTTTAAATGACACAAAATCTAATACAATCTGCTATAGATTCAGTGACTACAACACAGTTGGGAAATTATTTGTTAGAGTTATCTACATAATAATAATTATTTTGGGATAAGCCGGTAAACGAGCAGACGTTGGTAAGCAATCGTCGTCGCCCATGGACACCTGGAACATCAGAGGCGTTACAAGTGCGTTACTGGCCTTTTAGGATTGGTTTGAGGATTGTTGGGGATTCAGGGGTTGGGGGTGATTGGGGAAGAGTAGTCATTGGGTCTCCGGTAACCGCACTCACACGACGAAATACATCGCAAGCGTTGTTTCACGTCGGTTTTCTGTAAGACCGTGGTATCACTCCGATCGAACCGGCCTATTCGTGCCGCCGAAGCATGGCTCTCCCACACTTATTATTTACATACGCTTACAATAATTTGGAGAAACCTGCAAATGAGAAGATACTGCGACCTCTATATTTAAGGTGAAAGGTGACATTTTTGTATAAAAGTATGAAGCGATTAATTTATCAGTGTGTCCAATTAGTATTTATTACTTTCACATAATTATCATGTTACCTACATATTTATTACTATCGATATGGTATCTAGCATCCATTGATTTAACTGTGGATGTACTAAGACCAAAACAATTGCATGAATAACGAATGATAACTATTATAATAACAATAATTAAGATAATTATGCAAATAATAACAACGCAATGTTAATGGAATATTAAGAAATTGTGCGCAACCGCTCACCATTGTCACGAATGTCGCGAGGCTTGCGGCTTCCTCCCAATTCCAAATTACATTATGAAATCTCTATATTTATTTTAATTACGGATTGTCTTAATTCGTGTCGTAGGTTCACCGGGGCTCCGGTTGAAAGCAGGAGTAGGAACAGGGTAGTTTTAGTCAGTAAGAGTCTGCCACTCCCTTTCGCGTCACCCAAGGCGGAAGAGGCCATTGGATGATTTTCAATCCTTTTTGATTTTTTAAGTGTGGGAGAGATCTCACTATCATCTACGGAGGAGAATTTATTAACATTTTAATTTATACGTAGTCGTGTTCTATTTTCTTTTTAAAATGTGTAATTTTGTTATAACCAATGTTTTTAAAGCTCTATTAAGCCTTTAAGTTAAGAATGTTGATTTCGTAAGTACCTATCTAGTAGTTTTTTTTTCAGTTACTAAAATGTTATTGTCCTTGTTCGTTTGTACCTATAGTTTTTATTTATCACTTAATTGTTAAGTTGGTTAACATAAAATTGGCGACTGTATAATTACCCAACACCTATTGTTACCTTTATTATCTCTTAGTACTATGTAGGTACAGAAGCTGTTGGTATACCTATTTGGTTGGTAGTTTTTCATAAAATTATTCATATTGATTAATCATTAAACAAAAGTCCTGTCCAAGAAGACGTATACCGACTACCTATACCTAGTCATAGTGCTCTTATTAAAATATTCCTCTAGCACTTATTAATAACACTTAGTATTATACCTAAGTATGAATAAGTATGATTCCTAGTAACAATAACATTGTGTACATAGAAACTATATTGCATTACATTGCATTAAGTCACGATTGGAGGTGTGGACGCATCCATAACTTTAATTATAATTCTTATTGGGATTATAAGTTAATAATATACTACTTTGTTATTGTAATCCATCATTCTTATGATTGACTGTTTTGTTTTTCGAGTTCTTAACCATAGTCTCTTTACGTTAACTTATACTGATATTTTTGATAAATATTAGGTATGTTGAAGTTGACACTAAACTTATTGTACTTAGATACAATTTTATTCCATTTTGCGGCAATAAGGTAGATGACTGATTTTTAAAACATTAGACGCACGCACTTTTTAGTTTGTTATCAATATAAAAACTTCACGGTATATTGATTTGAAATATCGCGTGACGTCACTTCTAGGTACTTACGTTTTAAGCGTAGCAATGACGTTTTAGCTTCCATTCCTAAACTTTGATTCGTTTTACATAAGTATTGGTTTATTTATTATACGGCGAAATAAAAAAATACGTGTATAATATTTATTCACAGCCTAACTGACGACGGCCTAAATAGTTTTTTAATTTTCATTCATTCTCATTTTCATTCTCGTACACACGGGGAAACGAGCGTTCTCGTGTGTGTACGAAAATATTTTAATAGAAAAGCGAATTAACTATTCTGTTCAATCCAATAAAGATAAAAAGAACGGGTTGCAAACTTGAAAATATACGTCACAGAAAAAATATCCAATCGGTGCGCGTTTCTCGTACACCCGTGTATACAATAGCGCGATGGGCACTCAACTCTCTCGTACACCCGTGTGTACGAGAAACACGCGAGAGGTTAACCTATCATCATCCCAGTTGAACGCTATTTACACATGTTAACTTTAGTTTTTTAAACATTCCATAAATTGGAAACCTAAATGACTACAACTATTCAAGGTTATGTACAACAGAAGGGTCCTTGACATACAGACACAATAACATCGAGGTTCAAAAAACATGTAAAAACTTAGCATAATCCATAAATAACATGATTTTAAAACATTGGTTGCGATTATTGCTAAACATATTAGGCAGTACCTATATTCTCAGAGTAGTCAGTTAGGAAATGTCGGCCTCATCGTTCGCTTAATTTGAAGTGTAAAAGTGCTGCTTTGTAGCCTATTTGCAGATATCAATTCACTTGATTTTTTGTTTTATTATTTCAAAACTCATTATAATTTGTTTATTTATTATTTATTTATTCTTACTTGTACACAATTTTATTATGGCACATAAGGCGAACCTAATGCTATAGTGCATTCTCTACCAGTCAACTTTAGGGTTTAAGTAGAAAATCTGCGAAAAATAAGGTACGGAAAATAAACTAACAGCAAAGAGAGAGAGAAAAAAAAGTAAATATTAAATATTATAGCTATACTATACTTATACATATATTACATAATAGTAAATAGTACCTGTATAAAGTCATATGCATCAATACATAGTATAAAACAAAGTCGCTTTCGCTGTATGTCCGTATGCTTAGATCTTTAAAACTACGCAACGGATTTTGATGCGGTTTTTTTTAATAGATAGAGTGATTCTTAAGGAAGGTTTGTATGTATATACATATTGCACCCGTGCGAAGAAGGGTCGGGTCGCTAGTTAAATATATAGGTATAAATTTACATATAAATATATATAATATATAATTCATGTTCGAAGACAAAAAAACAAAAAAAAAGATGAAATGGTCGTTATTTTTTGTAAATCAGGTCATCATAATATTATAGGTAACGACTTATATTAGAAACCCAGCAGTTTACGTGTATTGTGGTTTAAACCGGTTAATTATTACTTAACTTTTTAAGTTAGTTAAAAAAGCTGTATTACAATACCAGTTCATATTAGTTACTAATAATAGCCTACTTATATCACTTATATAACAAAAAAAAAACAATGAAAACAAAAAAAAAACACGTAAAAAACTTAGTTTTTGTTGTATCTAAAAAAACATTACCCTCCTTCTTTGGCAGTCGGGTAAAAAATAGACCAATGATTGTATGTACCTAGCTACTGGTAATTATATATTTTTTATACGCAGTAAATTAATTAGTGTCAGAAAAAATAGCCATTCTTTTAATATCATGTGTCTAATCTTAATACTCGTTCAGGAATTCCATTTTGGAATATTCATTATCGATCTAATGATATTTTTTTTGTGTTTTTATGTCTTAGTAGGAACTTAGTAACATTAAATGAGTTGTCCTAAACTGTCAAAAACATTTTTACTATACTAGGTAGTTAACACTTGCGACAAAATGTTGATTCAACGCTATTTTGAAACTCACAATTTTAACTCTGATTAAGATTGATCTCCTGTTAAATTGAGACATTTTAACTCCTCGTGTTCTATAATTTGTAGACACAATTATAGAACAATAGGTTGCGGTCACCGGTGACCGCTTGGTGTTTGACAGTTTAATTGACTATTTCTAGTTTAGTACCATTTACGTATTTATAAATGAAATCTTTTTAATTAGCAGTTTAAACTACAGGTTGTATACGTGAATTCGTTTTACACAAATTCTAATTCAAACACAATTTAAATCAAAGTGGAAATGCTGCCAGCCGTCTGGGAATGTTCCCCGGTGATAGTGATGCGGACGAGTACCTACAATTGACGTATAATTAAGGGTATATTTGTTACTTTTTATTCAATGGTTTAGTTGTAGTTAATTTTAAGTTGTATATATATAATTATATATGTAGTAGGTAACATTAAATTTATTTAAATCTGTAACCCATCACCCACGTTTACTATCTGGTTGTTATAAAAGACTGCCTCGTTGGCCGAATGGTCGTAAGTGTGACTGCCGGGCAAGGGGTCTCGGGTTCGAGTACCGGGTCGATTATTAGTAGCACGGAGTCTGGAATTGTGCCCGGTATGTGATGTGGCAATAAGCTCACCCCCTATTACATGGGACTCATAACATAAATAGTGAAAAGTGGGTGTTACATTGTACAGTGGTATAATGTGCAACTCTGCCTACCCCCTCGGGGATAAAAGGCGTGATGTTGTTATGTTGTTATGTTGTTATACAAATTGAAGTAGGAATGCCACAATAAAAATAAAAGAACCTACAAAAACTCATGAATAGGAAATCCTTGCGTTTATTCATTTAGCTTAGGATCATACTACTTCTATAATGAACTGGCAGTGACAGATACCGCTTCTTTGTATAAATAAATTCAATTCAAAGCAAAAAAGTATAACTCGTTAGTCTGGCTCGTAGGTAGACCTGTCACAGGGATGTCAATCGGATATTAGACAGCATGCTTGGTAGAATTACCAAGTTTGGGATCTAATGTCCGATTGTCAAGCCGGGTACAGTATTATTAAGTTTTTAATCAACTGTAGGAAGGATATTATTTTATTATATTTTCGGCTTACTCACATATTTGACGAAGAACTCGACTAGTTTCAAGCCATGCTAGAGGTTACATGATATTCATGAGCAACATTTCGCGACCTGTGACGACGTGGCGACTGTCGCACTGCTACTAGCTCGAGTTCCTCCTCAAATAATTACGTGAGTAAGCCGAAAACATAATAATTTATTTAGTATGTCTCACGAACGTTATAATACAAGGATATTATTGTTCGGCATTCGGAAAAAATCTAAAAATATTTATTAAAGTAAAATGAGAACCGATGATTTCACCTTCTTTGACATTAGATACATTCAGAACATAACTTAATGCGAAAATTGTGTATCAAAAAGGTATACGTAACTCAATAAAATAAGAAAAAATAAACCTACAATGAAAACCTATATAAAAACTTAACGTAAATTCTTATTATTTTTCAAGTTTTTCACGTGACTCAAAACATGTTGAGTTTGATCATAAAAGCCAAATTAATTTTAAAATTTAAAAACAAAATGAGTGTGACTGAAACCGGACCGTGTATGAAATTACATCTATTTAATTAAAATAAAACGTGACTTCAACTTAATTAATTTATATAGTAAGGGAATTTTTCTAAATCTTTAACTAGGTAATAGCCAGGCTACTCTAAGTGATATCAAACGATACTGCTGATTAAACTTGTGCTAAATCATTAACAGCCTATAAATGCCCCCTGCTAAATAAAGCCCCTTCTCACACGGAGAAGCTTTGAGCATTAATCACCACGCTTGCTCAATGCGGGTTGGCGATTACAAACTTTTAATTGGAAATTATGCGAGCCCAGGTTTCCTCACGATGTTTTCCTTCACCGTTTGTCAGTGGTGTCTAGATAATCTTAGAAAGGACATATAACTCGGAAAAGTCCCATTAGTAAGTACTTGCCGTTGGTAGGTTTCGAACCCGTACCCTCATGCATGAGAAGCGGTCGTCTTAAACCTCCGGGCCACCACGACATTGTGATAATTAAATGTAAGTATAACGTATTAGTTGCAAAGTGTTAATAGTTTTGCACCTATTTTTATTTTCCTTCTTCGTCTTTTCAATAGTATCTACTTTAAACAAACAAAACTAGGCAAACGTAGTGTAGGGCGCCCTCTAGCTAGGTGCAGTGACGATATACGTAAAGTGGCTGGTAGTGGTTGGATGCGTAGACCTGAAGACCGAGCTCAGTGGCGTGCCATTGGAGAGGCTTGTGTCCAGCAGTGGACGAAAACAGGCTGTTGATGACTACTTTAAACATACATAATATCACGCCTTTTATCCCCGATAGGCAAAGGTGCACAAAGAAGTAATAGCCACTTTTCAGTAATTTTTTGTGTTATGAGTCCCATGTAATGGGGGGTAAGCCTATTTCCACTTACTATACTTTGCCCGACCTGGGAATCGAACCCGAGACCCCTTGTCTGGCAGTCGCACTTGCGACCACTCGGCCAACGAGGCAGTCGACTTTAACTACTTTTAATTAAGTTATCGACAAAGAAGATCTTCAAGGATCTTTCGACCTGTTACAGATCTGGCTCGTCGCGACACCCACATGCTGGCCACTGGGGGGACGGATTAGGAGTTCGGTAACCTCACTCACACAAGGCAAGCGATGTTTCATGACAAGTCGGCGAGTATATATTCAAACCTATTAACTCAACCATAATACAGTGTGTAAAGGGACCGCCCCAGAAACGCTGACAAAACGAAATAGTTTTACAATTTTAATCGTTTATGTTTTCGTGCGATTCATACAACATCAGCCTTGAGCAGTTGATTACAACTATCTATACATATAATATATCTATACATATATGTATCAGAGCAATGTAAAACAGACTTTTTTAAAAGAGTAACGAATGGAGTTTCTTGCTCGTTCTTCTCCACTCGAATCGACATTTTGGAACGAGCGCCTAGCTTCACTGACGGACAGACTGACAGACTATTATATATCTCATATTTGTTGACGTTTCAAAAGTACCAAATTATGGTTTAATTGAAATAAATGCTTTTGAGTTTGAGTTTGAAATAAAATCGTAGAAAAGTCAAAATTGTACACTGAATATATTTTTATATACTTATATTTTTAAGAATACTTGGGGCGTGATCTGCAATCGATACTGAAGCCAAAAATATGGTTTTTGGAATTTTTGTCTGTTTTTTTTTTGTATGTATGTCCGGGATGATTTCAAAAAGTACTGCATGGATTTACTTCAAATTTTGCATAATTATTACTAGTCGCTTGGGTCAACATTATAGGCTACATATTATCACGCTATCATCTACGGGGGAAGGAGCCCTGTACTAGGTAGGTACTTAATCAATTCTGACGATATTCGTTACCGTAGAATATCCCTTGATTAAGACTAATTCAAAAGCTTAAATTCTGCCAGAAGTCATTTTTCTACGCGAACGAAGTCGCGGGCAACAGCTAGTTATTACATAAAAGAAACGTTCAATCACTTGATATATCGTTCCGAAAATCGTCAAAGTTCATACAAAAATAGTCTCTACACATCGGAAATAAGGTCTATAATGGAGTCAGCAGATAGTGGTCACCGGTGACAGCTTGGGGATTGGCCAATCCTTATTTGTATAAAATTAAAACTTGTATTTTACCATCACCATGACTGTTTCATTGGCCGAGTGGTCGCAAGTGCGACTGCGTGGCAAAGGGTCTCGGGTTCGATTCCTGGGTTGGGCAAAGTACTACTGGGATTTAAAAAAAATCTCAGTGGTAGCACGGAGTCTAGAATTGTGTCTGGTTTATGGCAATAGGCTCACCCTCAATTACATGGGACTCGTAACATAAATTGTAAAAAGTGGGTGTTACATTGTAGTGGCATTAAGTGCCGTAATGTGCACCTCTGCCTACCCCTTCGGGGATAAAAGGCGTAATGTTATGTTATGTTATTTAACCATCACTTGTCGGCGTTTTTCGGGAGCGGTCCACTTACATCCCGTATACTTTGATATTCTCTCACCTGGTCAAACATCTCCAAGAGCGATGCAGGAGGCTGATGTATGGTGCACACCACAGTCCTGCCTTGTCTCGCCAATAACTTCAGAATCTTCACGCACTGGGTGGTCGTGACTGTATCCAGTCCACTGGTAGGCTCATCCAGGAAGAATATTGGTGGATTGTTCACTAACTCGAGCGCTATTGATAACCTGAAGGAGAATAGGAATAAGTTGAAATATTATATTGGGAGTTGGTATTTTGGAAACTAAACTAAAACATAAATCACTAGCTTCTGCCCGCGACTTCGTACGTGCAATCCCGTTTTCTCCCGTTCCCGTAGGATTTTCAGGAATTTTTCTGTCATAAGAACCTTTTCCTGATAATAATAAACACAACAAAAAATAAAATCAGCCAAATCGGTCTAGCCGTTCTCAAGTTATGGCGTGACAACGGGAAATAGGTGTCATTTTTATATACCTATATAGATTAGGTAGGTATACTAGCAAATATTGTTTCAGAATCAAAATTGTTTGTTTCTATTCACTAACAGCCAAAATTGATAAGCAACTTTTATTCCAAATCTCTGAATCAATCTCCATTTTTGACGACAGAAACTTTATACAAGTAATGGCAACATTCAACCTCAGTTCGAACGGTTTCGAATTTAAATCAATTGTAAACATAAAGCTTATAACATCGCAGTTCATGTTTATATTCTAACTTTCGTGAGACATAGCATAACATCACAACTTTTATCCCCGAAGGGGTAGGGAGAGGTGCACATTATGCCACTGTACAAAGTAACACCCACTTTTCACTATTTATGTTATGAGTCCCATGTAATAGGGGGTGACCCTATTGCCATATACCGGACACAATTCCAGACTCCGTGCTACTACTGAGATTTTTTTAAATGTTTAACGAGGAACTCGACTACTTTCAAGCCATGCTAGAGGCTCATATTCATGAGTAGCATTCCGCGACCCGCGACGCGACGCGGCGACTGTAGCGCTGCTACTCTAATCGAGTTCCTCGTCAAACCGAAAACATAATAATTAATCGCAGTTTGCAGTTAATCCTTGTAATTTTAAAGTGTATTTATGTATATCCCATAACTACAAGGCTGCCGCAATCAAAACCCCTCTATATGAGTTTGTTTCATCATTCTCTCTGTTTCTATGCAATCTATGTATATTTTACATTGTGCTAAAGAAACCACAATGATTCATGGTAATTGTAAGTATAAATTATTACGTGGGGATGTATCTATAATTGTAGAGTACCTACTGAGCTTAGTAGGTGCTCAAGCTATAATTATTATACTGAGAACGTATGTATCTACTTACAAATGGCATTTTGTAAGTGTTCATACATTTTATTCCTTTAAGGAAAAACAAAACCTCTTACGGGAAACAATAAAGTTCTGTTTCAAAAGAATTACCTAAGGATAAAGATAAGGAAAGGGTACAAAATGTCATTGATCAACTGCTACGTTTACTTACAGTTTGGGTTATTGACCTTTGGGTCACGCGATGCACAATAAAAAGAATAGGAAGTAAAGCGAGGAAAATGTATTGTTACCTTATAAAAGAATCAATGAATAAGCGTCAATAAAGTATTCTTTTCCTCGACTGGATTAAGAATTAAATGTTAAAGAATCTAAAGACTTTTTTCTAAAATGGGCTACTTCTCTATTAATTGGTGATGTATTCGAAAATCCAGTTAGATAGCCTGATTAAATCATTAAACTAAAACATGATATTTCAATAGTAGATTGCAAATTGCGACGACGCGCGACCTATCAACAAGAAAACAAACGTAGTCGATATGTAGACATACCTACTCATAATAGCCTTACAATGCATGTGCGAATAAGTTAAACAAAGCATAATAATCTACAGTTTTTATAGAACTCTGTGGCCACCGTATTGTGGGAATTTTCTTATCACAATATTAAGAAATAATACTCCCAAGAACAGTTTCGATTTGCCGTGTAATATTGTCAAGGCTACAACTAATCGATTTCTTGCGAACGTTTACCTAATACGAAAAGGTAGTGTTGTGTAAGTTACTCTTTAGGTACCTACACCAGATTAAAGAAATAATGATTTTTTGAGGAAATGTAGGTACTTAATGAATTTTGTGAGGAGGAATAATAAATTTATTGGGGAGTTTAGGATACCTAGCTAAAAAATGCTATGAGATTTGTAGTCAACTAGGTGCTATGCCCATGACTTGAAGTTTACAAATATGAAAACCATTTTTTGACGTTTCTGCAAAAATGCACGTGTAAAATTCACGTGAGAGACTCAAATGATTCGACACGGCATGTTTTATTTGTATCAACTGCCACGTTGCCCGAGTGGTCGCAAGCACGACTGGCAGGCAAGGTGTCTCGGGGTCGATTCCAAAGTATTACGAAGTCAAAGTATTACTGGTTTTAAAAAAAAACTCAGTAATAGCACGGAGTCTGGATTTGTGCCCGGTATATGGCAATAGGCTCACTCGCTTTTAGAACCCCAATATATTACCCCTATTAAATAGTGAAAAGTGGGTGTTGGATTGTACAGTGGCTTAAGTGCCGTAATGTGCACCTCTGCTTACCCCTTTAGAGATAAAAGGTGTGATGTGTTACATAAAATTAAACTAACCTCTTCTTCTGTCCTCCAGATAACCGATCTGTTCTCGTATGCTGGTGCTCCAGTAGGCCCATTTCTTGTAGGATTTCCTCCGAAGGTGATTTGGCTCCCCTAGGTGCCTTCAGCCTCGCTGCAACGTCCATAGCTTCGCGAACAGTCAGCAGCGGCTGGAGCAGGTCCTCCTGGGTGATGTAGCACGATGACCTCTGGAAATGCTGCTCGTCTCTTGGCTGCCCATTTACCAGAAGTTCACCTGTTACGCCTGCGGACCTGTGTGTTAGACATACAAAAATTATAATAAGAAATTGTATTTTTAGCAAAATATATTTGCTATTCCTATTCTTCCTGCAGGTCCTTTAGAGTCAGAACTAAGATTTTTGAGCAACGGAACAGCGCTATCTGAGTGCCAAGCACGAATAACTATCGCATTCGTAACGCGATAGTATAGAGCGCGTTCTGCGCTCGGATCGGTTGGTTTACTGGAGCTGGCACTCTGATAGTCCTGAACTAACTGCAATACCGAACCCCCCAGCTAAGCGTGGAGATTATGATAAACCCCTCTTACTTAGATAATGCCCATAATCCAACAGTGGACAATCAGAGGTTCTAGTAAATGTATAAGTGTATCTCCACACTATATCTATAACTACCGACCCGCTCCGACTTCGCACGGGTGCAATATACATGTATTATACATATACAAGAATCTTAAGAATCACTCTATTTAATAACGCCTTGAACGCCATGGGGGACAAGGTATGATGGGCCACGATAGCGGAGGATTTACCTTCAACAGTTTTCTGTCGGCAGTCAAACTGTTAAAAAAAACACATGAAAATCCGTTGCGTAGTATTTAAGATCTAAGCATACCTAGGGACAGACAGACGGCGGATAGCTACTTTGTTTTATACTATGTAGTGATATTGCTTATCCTCTTATTCTCCGAACCCATAAATGTGGTTTTAGTTGACCCACGTTTGTTAGTTAGGTATTAGTTAAGGCTTGCTAATCTAAACTTTAAATCTTTTGACATTTACAAGTTGGGAAATCCAGTAATTCTTCATCTGACCAGGAAATTGTATCTGTGGATTTGTTTTCTGTTCTTTCGCGATCAATAAGAAGAAGCCTATCTGCAATTTTTAAGGAAACAATGAAATTGAATTAATTCGAAATAAGTAAGTGTTAATTTTATTAAACAACTATACCTACAGACAAAACCAACCTAAAAACAAAAACCGACGTTGACTTCAATAGGCAGCAGTAACTACGAAAATCAAATACAAGTTTTATGGTTTAAAAAACCCAAAAAATCCCTTTTAGGCAATAAACTGTTCAACTTTATCACCAAGTACAACGAAATAAAGAATACTTAACCCACCACCTACAGAGATAACACCACAGAACATACCTTCTTCATATTGTGTTCTGTGGATAATACATTACCGGGAAAAGTTAACACAAATGCAGAGTTATGCAGATTTATGCAAAGGATTATAATATTTATTGCATAGATATTACTTTGTTATTATAATTAAAGTATAATTTACTAGGTAGAAAAGAAAGGTAAAGCTATATTATTATATACAGGATACAGGATGACTTGGAATTGGAGTACAATCTGTATCTAGAGAGTAAAAGTACCCACAGCCCACAGGCTATGCACAACATTTTGGAATGAACAGTTGAAAAATGGAACTGTGTTGTGTTGTATCGCCAGTGTTTATGGCAAATGAAACTTATTGGTATCTACCTTGTAGGTACCTATAATTCCAATCATAGATTCACAATTTAGACATTTGTTGGTTGATAATATTATATCAAGTCTAGACGTACAAAAACCCTAAAATCATATACCGGACGTCATTGTTTAATGTTAATATTAACTCTTAATGTTTACAAGTTAATAATAAAATAATAAAAGTTTATCAAAGTTGGATTTTATTGGTCTTTATTATACGGATTCTGATTTTATGACGCTTCATAAAGTCATGATAGCTTTGATGAATGACTCGTTTTGGCCAATAAACCACAGTCTCTCGTAATCCCCATGCTTAGACAACTTGGGCTTGTCAGTTGAGTTAGCTCATTTAAATTGCTACCCGTTTCTCTATATCCAGTCAGAATTTAAGACCACCCAAACCAGTGATGCGATAAATAGTATAAAAAGTTTATAACATACGTGTCACAACGTCACTGGTATGCTTTTTTGTGGGGGAAAATTATCCAATGACTTCTCTCGCTCGGGTGAGGCGAGACGGAGTGTGGTCTGATATCAGTCTGACTCATATTGACTAAAAACCACCCCGTTCCTATTGGTGCCCTTCGAGCCGGAGCCCCAGCAAGTGTATATCCCTTTGAAAGACAAAGGATATCAACTCGTGTATATAGTAATAAATTGAATAGGCCAAATCAGATTGCTTCTAATGAATCGTAAAACTTCAGTATCTTGAGTGTTAATTATTATTACCCGATATCCTATTTCGTAGGTTAATGATAGAAATAAAATAAATATAGGTAATAACATAGTAGTTACAATGGATTTTCCAGTTATAAGTACCTAGTTGGAAATAATATCACATCACGTGTTTTATTCCTCGCTTAAACTGTCAAACACCGCGCGGTCACAAGTGACCGCAACCTATTGTTATTTAATTGTGTCTATAATGACGGTACCCAACGAGTTAAATATAACATACATATTCATAAGTATGATACGAAAACGTCTAATGCCTTACACTGGGATCCTTCGTAATCCCAGATTTCGTATACGTACTATACCAAACATTTTACAAAGATACCAATTTTACCTATTAAAACTTCGCTCAATATCACCCAGTGCTTAATACAACAGAAAAACTCATTGTACTTAATTTAAAATATAAAATCTTCTACCTATCGCTTTCTGATTATATTTTATTTTATTTATTTCTTCTTCACAAAATACAGTGAATGGCGGACTTAACCCATATAGACCTACATATATGCCTTAAGGCATTCTCTTACAGTCAACCATAGGGAAGTGCAGAGAAATGAAGTGGTTGCGAAGCCAGAACACAATCAAAAAAAAAAAGTGGTTATATTATAAGTGGTTGTTCATAAAATACCTGTATCCAGATAGAGCGTTGAGCAGTGAGCTCTTGCCGGCACCTGAAGGTCCCATAATGGCCACCAACTGGCCTGAAGTGAACCTTCCATCTACGCCTTTGACCACCACCTTCCGTGGTCCTGAAACCAAAGAAAAATACAAATACTTAAATAACAATATCTTTGAATTCACAATTTTTTTCTCCGCATTTATCGATACAATGAATTACCTAAAGAAATAAATATGATAATTTGATTTTATGAGATATGCTGAATTAACTAAAAACTTCGTGTTACTCACGTAAATTTACTGAGAAAAGCTCTACTAGTTTCGAGTCACAGAGGACTCTTCCTCATCGAAACTAATAGAACTTTTCTCAGTCTATTTACGTAATAACTCGAAATTTTAGTTAATTACGTATGATAATAATTAAATAGATAAGCAATAAAGATGATAGGTACGTAATACTTGAATTTGATTAAGAAATCAACCGCAAGTCTACAATCAATAAATTAGAAATGACACTACGATAATATTACTGTTTTATTAATTTTTAGAATTAATAAATAGGTACATAGGGATTCACCTGTCAAACAAAAATAAAACAATTAAGTAGGAATATCAATGATTTTAAAATGTAAACATGAATAGATAACAAAAACAAAACCATTTTAGTGGATAAGGTATAAACGGTTTCACATCAAGCTAAGCAGGATTAATATAGACTGACCCTTGAATATGCGTAAAGATCGTAAGATGCGAGAGATCATGATAAACTGGTTTTGTATTTGTTTTTAAGGGGTGAAAATCATCGAATGACTGCTCCCGCCTGGGTGAGGCGGGACGGAGTGTCAGACTCTTACTGACTAAAAACCACCCCGTTCCTTCTCCTGCACGTCGAGCCGGAGCCCCGGTAACCCGTTAGGTTCTCCGCGACAAACTGGTTTTGTATAACTTCATGTGTGACCTTAACTAAGGATAATGATATTATCCAAATTTCCTATCTCATCGTAGTCGATATAAATCTTATGATTTATGGCATGCGACTGCACCTTAATGCAATCTTGACTTAACATTTTATTGTATGCTAAGTATTCTTAATTTAAAAATCGTATTTAGTTTTATTTACCTACCTATTTGTTTATTCGAATGAGTTTTTTGCCGTGATCCTGATCCACGTGAGAACTCACGTGCAGCACGGACCTCAATTGTTAATTATTCTCAGTTGATGGAGAGGACATTGAGTATTTTCCTTAGTCAAATTGTTACGACGTAAACAGTACAAATTAACAAACATAATTACACTCAATAATTAATATGGCCATTTTTTTTTTAAGGGGAGAAAATCATCGAATGACTGCTCCCGCCTGGGTGAGGTGGGAGGGAGTGTCAGACTCTTACTGACTAAAAACCACCCCGTTCCTTTTCCCGCACGTCGAGCCGGAGCCCCGGTAACCCGTTAGGTTCTCCACGACAAACTGGTTTTCTATAACTTCATGTGTGACCATAACTAAGGATAATGATACAACCACAAATTTCCTATCTCATTGTAATCCATAATGTCGATATAAATCTTATGATTTATCGCATACGACTGCACCTTAATGCAATCTTGACTTAACATTTTATTGTATGCTAAGTATTCTTGATTGAAAAATCGTATTTTGTTTTATTTACCTACCTATTTGTTTATTCGAATGAGTTTTTTGCCGTGATCCTGATCCACGTGAGAACTCACGTGCAACACGGACCTCAATTGTTAATTATTCTCAGTTGATGGAGAGGACAGAGGACATTGAGTATTTTCCTTAGTCAAATTGTTACGACGTACACAGTACAAATTAACAAACCTAATTACTCTCAATAATTAATATGGCCATAGGAGGTACTTGCATGTTAATCTTCGTATGTTTCTACTTAATTTTTAACACGTATTACTTACGGACTAACTTATTATTGTACAAGATAGACGATTTTTGGTGTTTCCAAATAAATATTGAATTTCTTTACTTAGTTAGATTAAATTAGGTATATTCTAAAACAATTGAGGCAACACTTTAAAGAATAAAATGAAGTAGTGCTCTAACAAAAAGGGAAACATGAGTTCCTATGACTCATCCATTTTTCTAATAAATGTTAATTTAAAAAATATATTCGCAAGATATTCGTTTAATCAATTTCCTATTAGTCTATAGATCAACTAGCTGAACACGTGACTTCGTCCACGTGGAAAAGTCACTTTGGAGAGTTCTTCATAGCTCCTCCCCCGTAGGTGATAGCGTGATAATATAGCCTATATAGGTATTGACCCGGCTTGTAGGTAACATTCATGCAAAATTTGAAGTAAATCCATGCAGTACTTTTTGAGTTTAGCCCGGATATCGATCAGGTCTCAAGTTTTTTTTTATTAAATTTAATGTTTTGACTTTCCTACGATTATATTATATTATGTATAACTAGATTTAGATTGATCTGTTAATCAAATTAGCAGTGATCGAGGTTTTATTTCAAAACAAATGTGTTGTTATCAATTTTAGCTAGAGAAGTTATTTTTGAATTATTTTTTTTCTCAATGTTTCATTTAGCATGAGATACATAATAATTAAGTTTCATCTAGATAACATAAAGTGGTTTTGCCAGATAGTTAACAAGGTACAATTCTAGACATTTGCATAATAAAATAATAGTTTAGCTATTTCTTGTTCTAGCCTAAAAATAGTTTCATCTATTAGAATCTACCTACATATTTCCATTTATTGTTAACTGGGATATTTCTAGGTCGAATAACTTTGCGTGTTCAGAGGCCTTTATGTGAGTTTCCTTTACATTAAAAGTAATCGAGTCGAGACCACGTTCCCGCTCTGATTGGTTGGTTCATTGGCGCCGGCCAATCAGATTAGAGAAAGCTTACTCGTTTCGAATACTTTAAACGTAAATCAAACTCGTACTAAAGCCTCTGATTGGTTGGTTTTTTTGAGCCTGCCAATCAGAGCGTCGAACGCGTTTTCGTTTCGATTACTTTTAACGTCAAACGAACTCGTACTGAGGCTTCCCAGTTCTATTTAGCTATAAGCTAGGAGTTCACGCATGGCATTCAAAGAAACATAATATTGAACCATAGTAACTAAGTAAATACATACATAATACTGAAATTTGCAGTTCAGTGACAAGTACCAATAATATTATAACGAACTAAATCATAATCTAATTATATTAGATACTCGTTGTCAACTTATTGCACCGACCACGCTCTCACTGCATTACCTAAAGGTTGGCTAGTAAGAATGCCCATGGCATTAAGCCCGCCTATGTACTCTTGTTGCATAAAGTTAAATAAATAAATAAAAATAAAAATGCCTACTATGCAAGTTATTTGCATAACAATAAATTTTATTTCGCATAAATATTACAAATTAGTTTTACAACGTGATTCAATAAAATAACGAATGCATGAATCGAATCTTTATTCCGAACACACGTGTGTGAGTCATAAAAATGCATAATTATCTAGTCTTAAATGAGAAATAAAAGCTCTAAAATTCAAATAGGTAATGCAAAAGAAACCGTATTTTAGTTTGCTTTTCGCGTTTCCGATAAAAAGTAGCTATGTATTATTCTAGATCACAATCTACCAATGTGCCAAGTTTCATCCCGATCCCATTAGCCGTTTTTGCGTAAAGGAGTCACAAACAAACAGACAAACACACACGCTTTTGCTTTTATAGTATTACAGTAGGATTGTACATACATGATGCAGAAAGAGTCTTACAATATCTAAGTACAGTATTACCTATAGCGTTAGCAGTGAACAGCGGCCATTTCTACGAATCGTTCATTGTCTCAAAACAAAAAAAAATGACTAGGCATAATTATTTGAAAGCAGAAACACAATCATTTACTCATTTAGGATCAACTAGACTTTTTGTAACTGTTAATTTATAGTTTCGATAGCTCGATCGCATTCTCATTCGTGATGTGTCGAGATTATTTTCCCAACCAATGACATGACAGACCGCAATCGAGAACACTTCGATCCTTCGAATTGAAAGCTACAGAATTGCCTAACAGAACACGTGGATAGTGAATCATATGAGAACTAGATCCGATCTAGGAACGATTTCACTAATTATTTATTTGAAAGGATTTCCGGCCAGATTACATAAACCAATGCAGTTTACGTCATCATAAAATTTAAAAATTCTGAGAATCTTTTTAAAAAAACCTAAATTGTTACGAAACGAACAAACTTAATTGCTTCGCTATATCAATAACCATAAGAGCATCTATAGATTACTAGCGACCCGCCCCGGCTTCGCACGGGTGCAATATATATATACATACAAACCTTCCTTAAGAATCACTCTATCTATTAAAAAAAACCGCATCAAAATCCGTTGCGTAGTTTTAAAGATCTAAGCATACATACGGACATACAGCGAAAGCGACTTTGTTTTATACTATGTATTGATGGTCCTACAAGTGTACCTAAGTATTGTATCAGTATGTAAAACTGGTAGATATTTATATAGGTAGGGTTGATTTGTCACTATATCAGGTTTGTTGGCTATAATAGTCCTGTCAGTGATGATAGACCGGTCCCAGTACAACGTGATATATATTAATCTTATTATTGGGTTCTTTATTGAGAATCGATAATGGCACTTTAGAGAAATTGTTAAAGGACATTGTGTAAAATGCTAGTGATCATTTCGAAAGCCTTTAAAGAACTTGGAACAAATAAAAAGTTATATCCTTACTTAATATTATAAATCGGAAAGTGAGTTTGTTTGTTCCACTTTCACACCGTAACTACTAAACCGATTGCTTTGAAATTTTGCAGACGTAAAGTTAGAAGTCTGGATTAAATAATAGGGTACTTTTTATTCCGGAAAAATTTGATATTCTCTAGGGAAAACGAAATTATTGGTATAGATAGCGCTGTGTGTATATGTCACATAAGCTACTTTTTATCCTTTTGTGACGCGAGCGAAGCCGCGGGTAAAAGCTAGTGATATATAACCAATCAGACCAATATGTCGGGGCATAATTATATGCTGGCCACTACGGATAGTATTTGAACAGATTTTTTTAGGAGCGTATGTCAAAATTCTTTCTCTAGCGGTCAATCCTACCTGTTTAG